ATTTGAAAAGTCAAATGTTTCTGAGAGGGGAGCATTTGTTTTCTTTTACATTCAGTAAAAAATATATACCCTGGCTCATTTCCAAAGTAGTGGTACATCTCACAAATAATGAAGGTGTAAAAAGAGATTGAGAACCTGCACAATGTGTTTCAGCAGTTAATATCTGCTTTCTGCATTGTCAGACAAAACACACTTCATATGCCATTGCCAGCTCAGAAGTTCAAGAACAAGTGAAAACTGTTATGAACATTCATTTTTTTCAACTGCTCCTATACAAAGATACAAAAGTGCATTTAGCCAAGGCTGCAAAGCAATTCAAAGCCACTCAAAGTAGCAGATGTATTTCTATGCCCTGGGTTTTTTGTTTGGTTGATGGGGGGGGGAGGGTGGGGGTGGGAATCTTGGTTTGTTTTTCCCTGAAGCAACCACTCATGCTGTGCAGCCATAAAACTTCTTTCAGGAAAGACACTCAGTGAACCTTTTTTTATGTTTTATGTGTTTTGCCTTGTTAGAACTTTGTCTTTTGAGTTCCTTAGTACACTGAACAAGATTACTGCATAAAAGTTAGTATTTTTACAGGTTTCTGGCAACAATACAAAGCCATAAATTGCCCAGCTCAAGTGTTTGGAATCCCCTGGGTACGGAAGTTGCTAGCCTGTCAAAACCCTTCCCATTAATAATGGAGCCCATCATGGGTGTAGTGATCACAAAATTACAGTTTTTGATTCTTGAAGAAGTAAGGAAGGGGTTAGCAGAACAGTTCCCTTGCACTTGCAGAGGGCAGACTTGGGCCTATTTAGAAGACTGGTTGATAGAGTCACTTTTGGGAGACAGTCCTGAATGACAAAGGAGTCCAGGAAGGCTGGGCATTCTTCAAGAAGGAAATCTTAAAAGAGCAGGTCATCCACATGTGCCAGCTGAACATGAGCAGCAGTGTTCCCAGGTGGCCAAGTAATCCAACAGCATCCCTGCCTGTACTAGTAGCATAGCCAGCAGGGCCAGGGCAGTGATCACCCCCCTCTACTGGGTGCTGGTGAGGATGCACCTTGAATACTGTGTTCAGTTCTGGGCCCCTCACTACAAGAAGGACATTGAGGTGCTGGGGCAGGTCCAGAGAAGGGCAACAAAGCTGGGGAAGGGTCTGGAGAACCAGAGGAACTTATGAGTCTGGAGAACTTACATGGAACAGCTGAGGGAACTGGGGTTGTTTAGCCTGGAGAAGGCTGAGGGGACATCTTCCTGCTCTCTACAACTAAAAGGAGGTTGTAGTGTGTGGGGGATGTTGGTCTTTTGTCCCACACAAGTGATAGGACAAGAGAAAATGACTCACTTTGTGCCAGGAGAGGTTTAGACTGAATATTAGCAGAAATTTCTTCACTGAAAGGCATTGGTCAAGTGTTTGAGTGGCCATCCCTGGAGGCATTTAGAAGAAGTGTAGATGTAGTGCACAGGGACATGGTTTAATGGTGAATTTGGCAGTGTTAGGTTAATGACTGGACTTCATGATCTTAAAGGTCTTTTCCAACCAAAATGATTCTATGGTTCTTTGACTGTATAATACTGCCACTTGCTGTCACAATCATCCAGACTACAAAAATTAAATTAATAGTACTTTGCCCTTGCTAGAATGGATGGCTTCATTGTATGGCTTACATATGGACATTTTCCACATCCATTACAGAGTCTGATTAGTTGCAAAATAGGAGCTAGGTTGTCTTTGCAACTTACTTTAGAGCTTGATGAAATTGATCAGAGACAAATCTTCCCTTTGCAAGGCTGTGCCATGAGTTGTTAAAATATCAAGAACTTGTAAAGACAATTTCCACAAAGTAGAGCATGCACTGGAAAAAAATTCATATGAATGCTTGCCAGTTAAAGCTTAACAGAATCAGAGGGATAATTAAAACTTCAGCATATTGTGGAGAAGGACCTGGTTATTGGGCAGAGAAACTATCTTAATTAACATGGCTAACAATAAGTCATTATAGTAATGCATTATTTTGAAATTTATATGACCAAACCATACCAATGTAAAGTACCTTAAGGTCACTATATAATTTTCATGGCTGAAAAATTATTCTCAAAATACTTCATCAAGATCAGAGAGAGAGATGTAGTAATTTTCATTATTTTTCAAAGTTTTCATCTACAGAAATAGATGCCTTTCTGAGCACGAGTGAATTAATGCTTCTGCCCTTTCTTCTCTCTTCTAATTAAATGCTTCCCACTTTGCTTCTGCTCTGACAGTTTAGATGAAAGTTTGGAAATAACAAAGAGAAGCAAACAGCAAGAAATTAAAGAAAAATTAAAAGATGGGTAGAAGATAAACAGTGATGGAAAATGTAGGAATCAAAGGCACAAAGCAAAAATGCACCCCAATTTAAACCAGGGTAACATGAGACCTATCAGTAAATACCACTAAAGTCAGTGGTGTTTTCTAGATTTTATCAATATGGACAGAATGGAGCAGTACCTTCTGACCTTTTTTAGCATACCATTTCAGCAAGATCTGTGTCTGTTCAAAGCACTTTTATTATTTCATAAGATATTTTCATGCCTTAGCCAGGGTTTATAAAGCTTAGTACCAACCAAAAATTAGATATGTCAAACATATTGATACCAGAAATTCCCTGAGCTGCGTAACAGTAGAAGTGGAGAGAATGTGTTCTTACACTACCCTGAAGCTCTGCTACTGCCCAATGTCATGGAAAAGATACTGTTCTGACTCCTTGTGGCCATCCTCATGTATAATAAAGCACTGCTTGTACTTGAAAAATGAAGAGAAATATCACTGAGTTTTAGATGTTACAAGAAAATGTTCCTTAAAACATTTGTTACATGTATTTATTTAATTGTGCATGAAATAGAAATCCACACATGTTGTGCTTTCACTGAGAATAAATTATTGAAGGACAGAAATATGCATAGTACAAATCCTCAAGGAGAGCTTGCAGAGGATGTAAATGCTCCATCAGTTTTAATTGTGGCTTGTTTCAGGGATAGAATCTGATCAAAGTGGGTTGCAGGCTGGATCAAGGAGCACAAAAACTTAACTGTTGGCTCATCTTGAAAGGGGTAAATGCTAGATTAGACATCATCTAAAGGCCATGCAGATAGACAGTGCAACTTCCAGATACATAGAAACAATTAATTAATCTAATTCATTATAGGTTTGACCTGAATTAATGTTAATTAACTCTTGTTAATTCAAATAAAATAAAACAGCACTCTGTTGACCAGCCTGTTCTGATTTGGTGGCTTGTTGGGGTTTTTTCCCCATTTTTATAGCTCTGAGACACTGCTCATTCATTCATGTTATAATACGAAGTAACAAGGTTTATGGTTAGTTTGTTCCCTTGTTCCTAATGCTTAAAAATCAAGTTGTCTCTATGCAGTTTTAATTCACCTATGCAAAATGACACAGTAAATTTGAGCATCTGACTGTGTGTATTTAAGCAACATAAGTAATTTTCAGAACTAAAACCTCTTCACGGTTCTCTGTCACTGTGTCTATTTATTGATCAAGGAAATTTAATTAGTTACTGTGTTGTTTTAATCCTTACAGAAGGACTTTGTACTTTATAATTCATAAATACTTGCAAGTATAATATGTCAGAGTAAAGTCCACCAGAGTAAGCGTGCAGTGTGAAATAATGAAGATGCAATTTTGCTGCATTTGAGATAGTGTGTTGGAGCTGATTTATTCACCTGGGATTAAGTATCAGGCAAAGTACAACTGTACAAAATGAGCTCATTCATTTCCGCATGATTTTCTTTGCTAAGCTTCACTTGAAAGAGGTAAGGTGCCTGCCTAGTGCTGCTTTCCTCAGTTGCTTTCTTAATAATTTATAATACTAAGTTCTATTTTAAAATTAAATGGGTCTGTAAATCATTTCAGTGTGTAAATATGAGGGAAGAAAAAAGATTCACTCAGAAATGCTAAATTAAAATAAAACTTCTAAAATAATAACTCCAGATCCAAGTGTAGTTTTCCTGAAGTTTAGTGATGCTTGTGGGTTAGGTTTTTATTTTAAGTAAGTCATTTATAACATCATACTTAATAATAGAAACAATACTAGAAGCTTTCATGGAAAAGGATACATGACAGTGGGAAGTGTAGGTAGAGTACAACTTAAATGCTTTAAGGGAATCCCTATGACAAATTTAATGGGAGGCAATTTCCCAGTTTATTACACTCTCAATGTTAAATGACCAACCCTGCATAAAACAGCAAATTGTATATTAATAATAAATCAGAATTATTATTTAATCACTTTAGGTAGAGTAGAAAATTCTGGTTTGCTGTTTTTCTGCATGGTAGCTATAAAAATTAACTCTCATACCCGAACTCTCTTATCGTGATTTGTCTTGGACATTTTTTAAAATGTGGTGAATATTTTTTTCTGTCTGGAATACTGTTTGCAGAATCTGCTGCTAAGTCATTACATTTATAAGGAATGTGGCTTTGCTGGAACATAAACCACTGTGGAGAAGGGTACTGGCCTCTGTAGACCATGCTGATGCTGGCAGGAAATAAGGTCTGATAAAAGAGCTGTTTGCTAAATCTGTTTCCTGCCTTTGCCAAAGTCACTGGGGGGAGCTCTCTTTAAAAACCCCAGCAAACCAAAACAAAAAAACCACCCCAGTTTGGCAAGTCTTAAGCAAATGTGTCCTTTGAGAGTATGGGAAACATTAGTTATCCCGATTCAGCCTATGCTCCTGTTGATATAAAAATTCCTCTGTTGTCAAACTGGGATTTGCCTGGGGACCCCAGGACTTAGTCCAGTAAGTCCAGAAGTAAGACTTCTTGCTATGTTGGATGGAAGGTTACTAGATATGTAACCCCAAAAGAAGGACAAGCTCAAAAAGGTTTTGATACAATATATTAAGCTGTTGTGGGGCAAAAATTCTTTTTGCTTTGTTCATTTTTTTTAAATCTGATTTAAACCTGTGACCGATTATTTAAAGCTGTAGATGGAAATTCATAAAAAGGATAGTCCAGATGTGCTGAAGAGAGCTATCCAGGGCATAGAAATATTGCCAGCACTCAGAAAGCCATGTCTTTTGAGTACTGTTTGAACTAGACAGTCAGAAGAGCTAGTGTTACTGTTTCTGCCAGGTTAACCATTGGTGCTCCATTTCACTAGTTCAGACTCGGGGAATATTTCAATTCTGATAAATACAAGATGTGCTTTTTCTTCCATTGTTGCTTTTCTGTCACAACAAAATTACGTTCTGTTTCATTGCCCAGCATGGTGCAAGGTAACAGCTAAGAGATTCCAATCCTACGTGTCAGAGGAATGACCAGTTAGATACAGGGTGCAAGACGTTAGGAAAGGGAGAGGTCCTTGAAAGATGGGAGAAGCTGATTTTGGCAGAGGCTTACTACACTGAAGTTCAGTATTTCAATACCTTTGTTCTTCAGGACTTTCCTATTAGAAGTCATAAATCTTTCCATTTTTAATCCACCCTGTGTTACAGATCTGTACTGCTGCAGAAGGACTGACTTGGAAGGAAGATGCTGATGACAAGCTCAGTGGGATTTATTCTGTTCTTGCTCTTTCAATGCACTTTGTCAGTAAGCACCACAGAGGCAGTGGTCTTGGCTAATGCCCACCTTCTTCCCCAAAGAGGCTATGAGAGACTGGGTAACAGCAATGAAAAAGGTACTCATGAAGAGAATTGGGTACATTGGATGCATGCTGTGTTTTACTCTGTTGTGTTGCTGTAACATTTTCAGCCAATGTACTTGAAAGCTAGCCCTGCAAAAATCAGAGTCACAGAATGGTTTGGGTTGGAAGGGACCTTACAGATCAACTGGTTCTAACTCCCCTGCCATGGGTAGGGACACCTTCCACTAGACCAGATTGCTCAATGCCCCATCCAACCTGGCCTTGAATGCTTCCAGGGATGGGTCAGCCACAACTTCTCTGAGGAACTTGTGCCAGTGTCTCACCACCCTCACAGTAAAGAACTTCTTCCTTATATCTAATAAAAATTTTACCCTCTTTCAGTTTAAAACCATTCTCCCTTGTCCCATCACTAGATGCCCTTGTAAAAGTCCCTCTCCAGATTTCTTGTAGTCCCCCTTTACGTACTGGAATGCTACTTTAAGGTCTCCCCAGAGCCTTCTCTTCTTCTATAGGCAGAACAACCCCAGCTCTTTCAGCCTGTCTTCACAGGAAAGGTGCTCCTGTGCTCTGATCATCTTGTGGCTATCCTCTGTACTCATTTGAGCAGGTCCACATCCCTCTGGTGTCGAGTGCCCCAGAGCTGAAGGCAGTACCTGCAGGTGGGGTCTCATGAGAGCAGAGGAGCAGAATCAGCTCCCTTGACCTTCTGGCCATGCTCCTTTTGATGCAGCCTGAGATACAGTTTGCCTTCTGGGCTGCAAATGCACACTGGTGGGTCATGTTGAGCTTCTTACCAACCAACACCCTCAAGTCCTCCTCAGGGCTGCTCTCAATCAGTTCTTTGCCCAGCCTCTAGCTGTGCTTGGAATTGCCCCAACCTAGGCGCAAGACCTTGCACTTGGCCTGCTTTGCAATATGAACATGTCCTGACCTGAAGTCACAGAACCATAGAATAGTTTGGTTTGGAAAGACCTTAAGATCATCTAGTTCCAACTCCCCTGCCATTGGCAAAGATGCCTCACACTAGATCATGTTGCCCAAGGCTCTGTCCAACCTGGCATGAACACTGCCAAGGATGGAGCATTTACCACCTCTTTGGGCAACCTGTTCCGGTGCCTCACCACCCTCACAGTAAAGAACTTCTTCCTTATATCTAACCTGAACTTCTCCTATTTTAGTTTGAACACATTACCCCTTGTTTTATCGCTGCATCCTTGATGAAGAGTCCCTCTCCAGCATCCTTAATCCCTTGCTCAGCTGCCATCTAATTCAAGAGAAATTACCAGTTTTTTTTTTCATTTGAAGACTTATTCGTTGGACAATCATATGTAGATTACATCATACACCTCAGCACCTAAATCCCATTGGTACCTATAATTGAGGCATCCCTCTGCCTATCTAGCTTGCAAGGTCCAGCTTGTTAGGGTTTCTGATACATTTACCAAAGTAGGTCCCATATAAATTGTATATAAAAAGAGTAGGTGGCTGATTCATTTTACTCCTTTGACTGATGGCATTTGAGGTTTTATAAAATCCACTTTCCAAGTGAATCCTGTGACATTCAGTCTGAATTATTTTCTCATTATTTGTCTATAGAAGTTGTTGTATTTTGCCTGAATAATATTCATTGAGAAGGGCAAATACAAGAGTCATTGTATGTATCACTGATGTGTGCATCACTATATAATCACTTAAATAATGGTAATACTATAAAATCATGGGATTGGGTTTGGAGTCAGGCTATGTCTACCAGACAAATGTTCTAACAACTGGAGTACAGTCATGTACAGAGTTCTGCTCTTTCAGGATGTTTAATAACGGCATGCAGATAATATTGAGATATAAAGTCTTCTATTCATGGCTGTAGATTCTATTAGGCAATGAAAGACATAAAAGACCTTGGAAACGCTATCTATTCCTGTAAATCTGTCCTGAGTGGCATGGAAGTACCAATAATCTTCTGAATATCAAATATAAAAGACTATATTTAACACAATAGTGATTCTATGAAAAACAGTATTTAACAGGTTTAGTCCATCTGGACTTCTACAAAGCCTATGATACAATATTTCATGCAATATTAAATCAGGGAAGTTAAGGTTATATTATAATTTCAGTAGAGACTGAAAAGAAAATGACAATGACTTGGTTAGAAAAGTAAACCATAAAGTCAAGAGGAGACTTTGGAAGTATTTGCTCATAGGTAATCTTTTCCATATTCTTATTAAGTATACCGATGCAAAAACAGGCATATGCTGATAAAATTTAATGATAACATGAAGTACAGAAATGCCAATGCAAAAACCCAGAATATTACACAGGAAAAAAAATGTATCAGGTGTTCTTAAGTAATGCCATTTGGTTGAAAACTAAAGTACATGATCCTAGGTTCTACTACAAGGTGAGGACCTCACCAGCTACAAAAATCCCAAAACCAAACTCTAGATTAAAGGAAATTAAGCAATACAAATGCAGTCCTGGAACATATCAACAAAGGCGTTTTTAATAAAACCTGGGAAGAATCAGTGGCACTACACAGGGCCATCTGCAATACTGTGTGCAAACTTTACCCACGTTCTAGGAGATTAATTTGCAATGAAGAGTGCAGAAAAAGCTACTAAGACAATTAAGGAACGGAAGATTTATCTTACACTAAATAATAAAAGAACTTCTTTATGCTACCCTCACAAAACAAAGGCTGAATAAAAATATAATTGTCCTCACTGGGGCTTATTACCCAGGAAGAAGCACTATTTAACTAAGGGACAATGTGACACAAGAAAGAAAAAGGTGGATGGTGGACATTAATAAAATTAGATTGGGAACCAGATTTGTATTTCTAAGAGAGTAGTGACAGTTACTGAAATCTACAATGCTTTTCAGTTGGAAGAAATTCAACAATTCTGTGAAGAAGACTGTATGACATAATTTGCTGCAGGACCAGTGGTAGATAAAATAGTCACTTCTGCTGCCTTTCTCTTTCCACAAAGTTGTTTGGGGTTTGTGGTTGGTTTTTTTTTTTTAACACTAGCCAAATCACTGAGTGTACTTTTGATTTGTTGGTCACAAGACCATACAATGAGATTCACTCTTTTCTGACTCTGTTCTTCTGTTCAGGAAAAGAAAAACAATTTACTGTATTCAGTAAAAGGAGCAAAGGATCACTGATCTCTGGTCAGTGATTTGGGCAAAGAAGAGGTTTTTCCTGAGCATTTATTTTAAAGTTTTTATCTTTGGAAATATTTTTCCTTTGTTGTTTTTTGGTAAATATTGAAAAGAAACCAATTGCTGTACTTGTCCTCAATTATCCTGGTTTCCCAGAAGAAAAAAAATGAAATTCTAAATTCAGCATTTAAATTCCTATCAGTCACTGTCAGGACAGAACATAAGATTTTGTCAGTCTGAAGAGCTCTTATTTGACATCACAGGTGGTTTGTAGGAACTTTTCTGACAGAGATACTAAAATTAACAAGTTTTTATTAAACATAAAGTACAAGTATCCCATAGTATAATGATGTCATGACATGCCTTTCAAATCTATGGAGAAGTGAATGATTTCATTTCATAAACATGTTTCTGACAAACAGAACAGACTCTCATATATAGAGAATTCCTTCTCTACAAAAGGAATTCTCTATATATGAATTCATACATACAGAAATGTGTATTTAAATAAATTATATTCTGGCTTTTAGAAGTATCACAGCCATTTGTAAAAAGCAGAGCATTGTGCCTTAGTCTCAGAGATGCTTGATACTATACTATAGCAAGAAGTTACCTTAGAAGCAAGTTACATTTAAAAAACACAGTATATATATTTCAGCCCAATCAAGAGAGTTATCCTAAGCCTTACATGCCATTTTTGTTACCTCTGAGTATATTGGATAACGTGTAAAAGCACTTTCACCTATTTTCCTGGTATTGGTGTTATCACTGCACAGCACTGTAGTTCTGCTTGTAAATCCATGGTAAGATTTAGCCTGGACTTTGAGTGACATGAACTGTTCTTAAGAAAAGCCTCAGATGTTTATAAGTTTTATAATAGCAAGAAATATGCTTTACTATCTCACTTTTACCACTGAACGCATGGCATGCTTATCAGAATTCAATGCAAAGATGTTATATATGCCCAAAAGTGCAAATTGGTTAAAGAGAAATTAGATTTATTTGAGGATAAAGATAGCTCCTGTAATTAATCACAGTGGTCTACTACACGGCACAGGGAATTGAAAAGTTGGTGACTACTCAAACTAGAAGAACACAGGAAGAAAAGGAATGGTCTGTACCTAACTTCTGGCTTTTCAACCATATTGCCATCATAAATGCAAAATCACACTTATGTTGTATGACAGGGTTAACAAACCCATTTTAAAATTTCTGAACATTTCCTGCACGTTCTGGTCTGCAATCTTCCCCTTTAGCTGAGCAGGTGCCCACTACCTGGGATGAAGTCAGAGTCATTTTCTGGTCAGAGTGTAGTCATTCATTCATTTTAAAGGACAGAGTTCATATCTGAAATTCACTATTTGAACAGAAATTTACTTTCTTCCTGTTTTTTTTTTTTTTTCCTACTCAAGACTATCCAAGGGATTGTTTTGAGATTTTTCAGCACTCCAAAGGAAATTCCAGAGATGGTCTTTACATCATCCAGCCAAAGGAGGACCCAATTGTAGTCTCGTGTAACATGCAAGATGGTGGTTGGACAGTAATCCAGCACATTACAGCCAATAGTACTGTCGACTTTGACAGGACCTGGCAGGATTACAAATATGGATTTGGTTCCGTTCATGACAACCACTGGTTAGGAAATGAATATATGCATCAGTTAACAAGCAGTTCCGTGCAATATATACTTGGAGTTAAACTTGTAAACATAAATGCTGAAATCAAATGGGGACAGTATGAACCATTCCTTATTGAAGATGAAGAGTCTCAATACCGAATCAGGGTTGGTCTATACCAAGGCAATGCCACTGATGCTCTAAGCTTGGACACAGAAGCTTATCTTCATGACAACCAGAAATTCACCACCAAAGACAGAGACAATGACAATTACTTTCAGAATTGTGCTAAACTGGAACACAATGGCATTCCTGGTGGAGGCTGGTGGTATGATGCATGCGCTGGAGCAAATCTAAACCGTAGGAATGTGATCTACTGGCAAAAAGACTGCAACAAGCAACGCATGTGCAAGTTTGCCTGGATGATGATCAAACCCGTTGAGTATAGCCTGTCATATCCAACCAAGTCCTGTCTGTGTCAGAAAGTTGAACTGTAGATAAGCCATGTGTACTTTGAAAGGACCATGGATTCTCTCTCCAGTAACTGAAGTGAACTCACACTGACTGAATGATCACATTAAGCAACCATGATTAATTTGGACCTTAGCAAGGGCTTTATGACAGCATATTATCCAGGACTAGACCAGGACATAGACATCATCCAACCACACAAGAAGTCACTGTCAGAAACTGAGGCCTCTACTAGAAGATTTAAATATTTAATTTTATAGTATTTTAGCCATAAGAGGAGTCACATATGAAATCCAAGACCTGATGTCTTGTACAAGATATACATGAACATACATGCATTTCAGAAGTTTTGCTCCAGTATGAATGTTGATCTCTTATAATTGTACATCTTCACATATCATGCAGGAAGGAAATTTCCAGTGAAGTACCTGCATTTACAAAACACATATTGGAGAGTATTGTGTACTCTAGGGCAACATCAGCCCTTTCTTTTTTATCTTTAGTGAAAGGTATTTTAATATATAAAACTGGAATTAGCCTCATCTCCAGTGGCTTCTTTTCCCCTTCATTGTCTCTTCTCAGCTTTTAAATTATACCATACACAGTGAAGATTCAGCATAGGCTTTTCTTTTCTTCCTTCTTTTTAAAAGACCAGAGCTAATGGAATAATCAGCTTTTCCACTGAAAGCTGCTAATCCAAAACTTACAATTCCTCTGAATTTTTCTTCAAGAAACTCAGTGAACACATTTTTTAAACGATCAAATTGATTTTGCAATTGTTTACTCACTGCTCCTTCTTTTTTTTCTGGATATTGCTGCACTTTATTTACCATGTTTTGACTGTTGCTTCGCCCATGATGTGCTTCAGCTTTCTCTTTTTTTCAGTATCACTGTGAGAAAATAAAAGCGTTGCCTTTATTTCATATTTGCTAGCTTCAATTGTTTTGGCACTCAACCTTGACTTTTAATTTAAACTCAAGGTTTATTTAAACAGTGCCCTCTTTCTGATTACACAATAAAGAGAGAATCTTTAGATTTCATGGTAAATTCACCTTTTCTAAAAAATAAATAAAAGGATTTCAGTTTTGATAATCCTGAAGACCTTGTTTTCTTTTACAGCTGTTTGGGTTACTTCACACATTTCTGTATGACTGGAAAAGCTGAATAACAACTGAAGTTTTCACTGTTGCATGATATAAATGTCAGAATAATAATTAGAATATCTTTTATGTTTTCTCAGATATTTCAATTTCATAAAGCCGACCAACACATACTGGCAAACTCCTACTTTTTAATTTAAAACCAGAAATCCCATAATTTCCATGAAAAGTACTTTGCAGAAAAAAAAGTTGTAATGTGTTTTGAGACGTCCAAGACGGCCAGAATCACTTACAAGAGAAATTAATTACAAAGTGCAAAAGCCAAGAAGGGAATTTTTATTTTTTACAATGCACTGCAACGTTTTCAGAAAGAGCTACAGATCTGTTACGTGGGTGGGGCCAGTATAGCATATATGTCTATTTCGCAGCATCTGATTTTTTCCTCCTCTAAAACTGTGTTCAAAGACAAAAGTGTAATAGGGGAAGAAACAGACAGTGGCCAAATTGAGTTTATGTCATTGAGTCAATTTAATGTGGGTTCTGCTGTAACTCTATCAAGTTGCCTCCAAAGTTGTAATGACAACACATGAAAATCACCCAAGTGCTGCCAGTCTCCCATAGCTTTTATTTTAATTCTTTGCCATATAGCCAGACTCTTACACACCTTCCAAAAATATGTTTTCAATAACCTTGACATGGAAGCACAAAACTGGAAGCCAAATAATCTCTGAATGTTACTGGCTTCAGAAAGGGAGGGTTTTTTCCATTTTGGTAAATGTTTACTAGGCACTGCTGGGCTATGTACCAGATCAGGAACTTCAGTTTTAATTCATCTCAGTAAAACTGCTACCTTTTACTCAATACTAAATTGAGTAAATAGTATTATTGAGTAATGGGCCATTAGCTACTGAATGCCATTAGTTTCCTCATGTATCTGCTGATAGATCAAACAAGCCAGTCTTCCCCAAACAACTAGACATTTAAAACCCTTCAAAAAGTTTTCTTCTCAACTTCTCCAGATCCTGCTCAGTGATGGCTCCTGTTCAGTAAGCCTTACTGAATTCCTGGATTACAATGGTCAGGTCGCCTATAAATATGACAAGGAGGCAATGTTACAGATTTCTGAAAAAAAGCCCTCTGTGGGAGATATAACAGTCAGAATAATTAAATTAGAGATGGGGACTTTTCATGACACTCAGCTCTAAAACTGGAACAATATATAAAGGGTGATAAGGAAGTACAATTAAGGATTTTGCCTTGAAATGTATCACTGTCTCTGTATCTAGACTCCTCAAGCCCATATATGCCAGTACAAGTCCCATTATCAGTACAACAGAGATGAGGAACAAAAATCCACATGTAAAAATAACTTTCAACAGTTAATAGCAGTTACTAACTGACATGCATAGTTGAGTAAGATAAGCTTAATTCGCAATTGAATTATATAATTAATGGCAAAATACACTTTATCATATTTTACAGGTTCTTACAGTATTTTCTCTATAACCCTTCTGATTTCATCCTTCCTTAGTTCAACAGGACTTTTTCTATAAAGGAAAACCTGTGCATTTATATTCTATCTTGACTTCCTGTCCACCGCAAAACTCGTCCCTATGTGCTAGCAAGTCACAGATGGTGCAAAACTCTAACTAGGTGTTCTATACGCATTTAAAAATTCTGGGAACTCTTTCAAGTATTTATCTACAAACATAAATTATATGTACAGAAAATGAATGTTACTTCATGATTTATGGAGATCTGGAATATGTATGGTATGTATAAAAGGGGAGACACAAAAATGATACCCCAGTTTGTGAGAAAATTCAATATTCAAAAATATTAAAGGTGCCATGTCTCTGATAACCTTAGTTAGGGATGTATGTTTATGCATCTGTATTGACAATAAATACATACTTATGTGTGTCTGTGTAGGTGATTATGTATAAATAAAATGTACTTTTTACAAATAAGTTCTTTTCACCAGTCCCTGACCATGACCATAATCAATTATAGGATCAGTTTAAAGTTCATTAAAAGGACAGAAATACAGATAACAAGGCTGTTCTACAGTGTAAAAGTCTGCAACACTTTTTAAAGGTACAAATTATAATTTGAAAACAAAACATAATTAGTACTGACAGTCTGATGAGGATCACGTTTTTCTTCTTGTGATTTTGAGGTTTTTTTTAAGAATAAACATCCCACATGACAATAAAGCAACACACACCTCTTTACAGAATTCCAGGTATTTATGATGTACCCATTTGGCCATGTAAGGCCATGTAATGTCTTCGCATCTCACAGTGAAGTGCTAGCAGCATAGTTTGAGCACATATTTCAAAATACATTGAACAGACTTTGTTGCAGCCATCACTGTGTATTCTAATACATTTACTGAGCACAGAGTCCATAAACATGTACAGAACACTGCTGTTCAACAGAAGCCAAAGCCAACAAAAAGTATCCCATTTAATTTCAGTAGAAGCCAATGCTTTACTTTAGCAACAGCACTGTAGCTAGCAGAAACTCTCACTAGCTCATAAATTTTGCCTTTAACTACAGCTTGTGCTACACAGGGACACATCCATTTGCTAAAAATGAAACAGTTTACTGAATATCTGATCCTGTGTAATATAAAATAAACCCACTATAATAACCAACTTGTACATAGTTACTGTGCACAGAAAAAGCTCTGGATAGTGACAGAGGAAAGTTGATGCACAGGTCTTTATATAAAACACCCTTACTTTTCTTTAATAAGTAATCGTATGCTAATGCACAAAAATAATAGGCACAGTATGGTCTGTTACAAAAGCAATCATCTGAGTTTAGAGAACATATTTTTACATTACTACACTGCTAATCTTTCACTGTCACAATTTTCCCCTCTGGAGATTGGGGATATAAAATATTAATCAATAGTACTGTGGTTGTTGACATGGAATAATTATTTATCTGTACAGCAACATTTTGATGGTACAATAATATAATAAATTAATATGAACAATTTCACAGAAAGCAATGGTATATCCAGGATGACTAATACAATCCATGAAATGTGCAACTGGGTCATGTCACCACTGCAGTGTCCCACTAAAGCATATATTAGGTATAATATGAAGATTGGCCCAAACTAATATTCCAGGGCTTCTCACTCAGAATTTGATAGAAAGGCCAGAACTGTATCTGAACTTCATAAGCATTTGTTTACTTTAGGATTTCATTCCTTATGACTCCTGTCACCATTAACTGTTTTCTCATGGCCTTTTCTAAGGCTTCATGTTTTGTTCCCACTGCAAGGAGGCAGAGCACCAGCTCTGCACCAATGGCCTCTTGCTCAGTCAATGCTGCAGGACTCCTGACAATTTAACACAGACATCAGACAGGCATCTGCTGTTCAATCCTGCCACAGGAGGGTCCTCACCACACATCCAAAGCCCCCGCAAACCTCAGCTAGCAGCCAGAGTCTCAGCTCATTGTATCTAGGCCAGTATAGCCCAGTCCCAGAAGCCACAGCCAGCAGAAGGGCTGACTCCAGCCCCCAGTACAGCAGCAGATACGGTTCTGCTGGACCAAAAGACAGTGACTGAAGATAACTTCTGTTTCCAAACACCTGACATTGACTAATATTTGTAAAGCTACTTGACGATATAAAGTGCTATGAAGGTGCAAAATCTCCTTAATAGTTTTATAGAAATATTTAAAAAATACTAAAAAACCCTTTATTTTTGTCTTTCAGAGATGCCAACTCTGTCACGGTTTATAGTAGTTTCATAACATATACAAAAATGCAAAGGGCATCAATACATATTTTTTCCTCTTCTTGCATCATTCCATCAGTAATGGAATATTGGAGCAAGGAGAAGTGCAACAAAGGAGATTGCAAAAAAATACTTTCCTTGTGCTGTAAAATAGATTACGTCCATTATGCTTTACAGTCAGTTCTCATTTGAATTGACACTATCACATCAAAATTTTAAAATTTCATTGGGAAATGGAGAAACTTGGAAGTATCTGCTAAGCATCACCATTTTTTACAGGTGACAGTGACTTGCATAATGGAACTGAAATTGGAACTGGCTTTTTCATATACAACATAGATCATCTATTTCCTCAACTACAAGCCCTTCCTATGTGTTGTGGTTTAAGCCCAGACAGCAACCCAGAGACATGCAGCTGCTTGCTCACTCCCCACCCTTTCTCCTCCTGCTCCCGGAGGGATGAGAAGGAGAATCAAAAGAAGGTAACTCCCATGGGTTGAGATAAGAACAGTTCAGTAACTAAGGTATAACACAAAACCACTACTGCTGCCACCAATAATAATAATGATAAGGGAAATAACAAGGGAAGAGAATACAAGTGCTCACCACCCGCCAACCGATACCCAGCCCAACCGAGCAGTGATCTAGCCCTTCCGGGTAACTGCCCCCAGTTTATATACTGGGCATGACATGCTGTGGTATGGGATACCTCTTTGGCTAGTTTGGGTCAGGTGTCCTGTCTCTGCTTCCTCTTGGCTTCCCCTCCTCCCTGGCAGAGCATGAGACTCAGAAAGTCCTTGGTCAGAGTAAACATTACTGAGCAACAACTAAAAACATCGGTGTTATCAGCGCTCTTCCCAGGCTGAAAGTCAAAAACACAGCACTGCACCAGCTAATAAGAAGGAGAAAAATGACTGCTATGGCTGAACCCAGGACACTACGTCTCCACAAAAGTCATCCTTAAAGTGGAAATTTTCTCACTTTTACATTCTCCTACAATATGTGTGTTCATCTGGGGTACTCTGAATCTCCTTAACCATTTAGTATTGGGGATGAC